GATGTATGGTAGAGGCTTGGTGTGTTTTGGAAGACCTATGGTAAATGATAAACGGCGGGGGAATGGAACGGAGGCGGGTTGTACGCATGTTAGTTATCACGAGAACGCCGTGCGATATGGGGGGTTTTGTCATTATCAATAGGTGGATTGATTGCATGATCTGGTGAGATATAGGTCTACCGCCTCAGTCATGCTATTTGGTGTCTAAAATACATGTAGCCTGGTGTACAACGTAATAAATATGGAGCGTAGTACCTCTGCCATCATGTTCGCGGAAAACCCTGGCCAGATACTGGCCTTTCTTTTCAGAGAGATGGCCGTGTCTGACTGACCTCTCAATCCGAACAAAAAGCAATCAAGCACCAAGCCATTACAACCTAGCTACAAGAAGTCCAAGATTTTAAGTGTGGCAATACGTCTGCTATTATCGATCCATTCAAGTTAGTTTGGGCTGGTTCCTTTTTGACAGAACTTGTGCGGTAGAACTACGTAGAGGTAGTTGAGAGTTTCTTGCGGGTGTGAAAGCGGGACCAAATAAAGTGCAAAAGCCTGGGAAGGAGCAACTTACGCGGGATAGTACCACATTCCGAGAGCATCCCTCGAACAAGAAAGTCCAATTGGGAGGGTGCGTACAGTAACTCAAAATACCTCATCACTTTTGACTCCTCAAGGACGTGATCGAATTCCAGAGCGCCACTGAGATCGTCCCGCCTACGAAGTACAAGTCCAGGAGTTGGTTCCCTACGATCCAGCCTGCAAAGTACGGCTGGACCATTGCAATTCTTCTCGTTACGTTTTAACATGACGTGGCCCAGACGACTGGACTTGCAGATCAAGAACCGGTAGATGTCGGTCTGGAAAAAGCCGCGCTCCAATGAAGAGAAAGAACCCTCCGCGGACGATGCTTTTCCGGCAGTGGTGGCTAGCAATCTCCGAATATATCTTGCAGCAAAATTGCATATCCCGTCATAGACGCCAGGGCCACAAAACTCGTGGCAGCGTGTCCAGAATTTATCGCCTCGCAACTTCCAAAGGTACTTGTCGACGAACTCGTTAATGTTATCCAAACGGGCCTTGATTGCTTCCAGCTTCAGGGCGTCCATCGGAAGCATCCCTCGGAGAGTCTTGACTTGTTTCGGTGACAGGGGAGCGCAATGGCCAGGAAAGTTCCATGGGCCGACTTCCTCGTCGTCGTCGTCGTCGTCGTTGTTGTTGTCGTCATCGTTGTCGTCATCGTCGTATATTGAAGCGTCTTCCTCGTCGCCAGAGAATGGATCGCCTTCCTCGTCATCATACATCGAAGTGTCTTCGTCATCCTCGGGAAATGGAGACTCGTTGTACATTGGAGCGTCTTCCCCGTCCAGATAGAATGTAGCGCCTTCCTCGTCATCGTAAACTGCCTCGTAAACTAAAGCGTCTTCGTTATTCTGAGGAAATGGATCGTGATCGTCGTCTTCGTCCATTGGAACGCCTTCCTCGTCCTCATGAGCTGGGTCGCGGAACTCGTCACTCGGTTGGTCGTCTATGAAGAGCTCCGGAAAATCTGATGCGTTCACTTCGGGTAACATGAGTTGGTCCATATTAGGTGGAACGAATTGTTCAAATCTCTCGATGAACCGCTGGTAGATTACAGGCTGGTAAGATTAGGGCGGGTCGATACGCCTCCGTACTTTGTCCAGCTCATGGAAAAACACGACGCAAAAAACGGCGCTGTCAGAGACGTGGTCGTTAATGTATATCTGTAGACGTTTTGTTCGGCCGTTGAGAACTGCGCGGAACTGGTTCGAGACGGGTCTTAGGGTGACCTTCGTTTTCATATCGCAGTTGTCAATGATACGGTCGAGCGTCTTGGCCGGAAGGCAACACCGCGTGGAAGAGAGGGCTGGCATTTTGGCAAATGCCTGAGTGTTGGAGACAGAATGGAGAGGTGATACTGGGTAGCTTGAGAGGATAAAAAGTAGGAAGAGGATGAAGATAAGCAAAGAAGAAGAAGGCTTGAAGAAAAACGGAGGGGTCATGCCTGCTTGTATACTTCAACATGCTTGTGCTAACTGACAGATAAAAGATGCAGCGGGCATCGGACATCGGATATACGATCGTCAAGCCGGTTGGTACATAATCACCGCCAACCCCGGTTATCCGGTAAATCTTTTTCTCCTGGTAGGCATGTATGTATGTTATGCCAGTACTTGACTTGCATCAATCATGGGATAAACTGGAGAAGACCGCGTGACGCATATTCAGATGATCAGTCAGTACAGCGGCTTCCACAAGTTTCTGCCCGGCACCTTCGAAGTGCTCGATGCGCGCTCACTAGCCGAGGATTGCTGATGCAAAGACACTCCTGAGCATTTCGAGCCGCGAAGTCAAAGCAGGGAAAAGGAACACTGAAGTTTGACATCCCTTGAGAGTGACCGGACTCAAGCACAACAAGGTGAATTCATGTATTACCGTAGTACATATACCTACTTACTGAAAGGTAGTGAAAAAGGCCAAGTTTACACTCACTCACTTCACTGCTCTTGAACAAAACATTGTACTCACAACTGTAGGTGCGTTGTATTAAAGAAGCGGGGTCAGACATTTGTTCTACAAGTATCACAGAAGTATGTGGCCCAAAATAATAACGTATGCAAACCTTCTTTGCAAGTTCTGAGTGTCGTGTCGCCGTAACAAGAACACAATGTCAGGTTCCAAGGCACAAGCGAGCAGCCTGCATTGAGGGACATTCATAAGACAATAATCTTCACTTAAACCTTCAACAACAATCAAAGCGCCAGTGGTTTAGTGGTAAAAATCCATCTGCCATCGATGGGCCCGCGTTCGATTCGCGGCTGGCGCAATTCTTTTGGCTTTTTTTTGCCCTTTCTGTGCACTCCAACCAAGAACCCCTTTTCTGTCCCTTGGCGCGCTAGTATCTTTCTTTTTTGTTACTCCAAATCTCTCTCAGAAACCAAAACCCTTTTGTCTATAACTATTCAAAACAATGCAGAAGCAGGTGTCCGGATACTATGAAAGGACTCTCTATAAATGTCTGACAACCACTTGAAGCAGATGCAAACAACTCCTCTCATTTTCTCAGCATTCGCTAAACGACGCTTCCAGCGGAGTGCTTCCTCCTTCTATGCATCCCTGCAATGCCGCCGGTCCCATCAAACTCCATCGGCCTTCCGAGCTCCAGTTCGGTCGACACCCTCCCTAGACCGTCACCCATACCTCTACTGCCTCGTCGAAGACCCATGATTTCCATATCCTCCAGCTCCTCGTCCACAATTCCGTCCATCTTCTCCAGCATGTCCAACACTTCTTGCGGCGGCTCCGTCCTGAACAGCGCATGGATATCGGCATATGGATTCAGACCAAAGAACCACTTACTGTCCTCTCCATCGTTTGCACTGGGCGTCGCGGACTTGGCCCACACGCGTCTTCGCTCGTACAGCGCGATCATTAGAAGGACCGGCAAGTTGATGATCTTGATAGCTCCAACGTTGATGTGGTGGAACATTTTTGGGCCGACAACCATCTTCATTGGGAGCAGCACTGCCAAAGCGAGTAGATTGAACGGAGGCGGATAGGCAAAGATGGAGTCGCTCTTGACGCCCTGGAAGGTTAGGACGGCACGGCGGAAGTAGATTTCAGCCTGCGCATTAGAGATGATCTTGGAGAAGGTGTTGGTGAGCATGGCGACAAGGACGGTCAAGAAGAGTGTGTTTCCGAGGAAAGCGAAGGTGATGGCCAGGGCGGGACCGAGGATGGTGTGGAAGTCGGCCGTCCGTTCGATACCGGTGCCATCGAGACCAAACCAAATCCACAAGAGCCATTTCCCGATGGTAGCCCAGCCTGGACGATCATCGATGGAGGACTGTGGCGTTACCAAGCCTGCGGCGACATCGGAAGGGTCCGGGGGCGCGCCCGTGCGCATCAGCCAGAGCAAGCCTAGCAAGAAGCCGGTGAAACACCATATGGCGATGAATGTAAGCCGGGTGAAATCTCGCATCATTGCGTGTAAGGCGATAAAGACGATGTTGTCTGGCATGAGGTTGAAGGCTATGCGGGTAAGTAGGACCGGGGCGGCAACGCAGAGGATGGGAATGGCGTAGTCAGCCTCCGGATAGATCCATAGTTCGGCAAAGCGCACAATGCCATATACGCCAAAGATGAAGGTAAAAGTGAGATCGAGGAAGCTCCACAGGTTCTGAGCGTGTACCTCCCATCCGTGTTCGACCAGAGCGGCAAACTGTTCCAGAACCCAGCCAGTCGTATAGATGACAAAGGCAGCTTCGTAGCCACCAAACGGGCTTGCACCCGAGCTATAAAAATCGTTTCGATGTGTCATGGTCAACACATACAGGCCTAGAAGGATGGTGAAGTGGACAAGTTCGAGCAGATTTCGTAGTCGAGGAACGATTAGTCGGCGATGGTTGAGTATCGAGGCTCGCCGTGGTTCGTAAAGCGATACAGGGTGGTACTTGTAGTGATCCGGTAGAATGTCGACAAACGAGAGCGGGGTGTACACAACTTGGCCGCGGTAGACAGCGTTGACAATGCGCTGGCATGCGACAGACCCGATCAAAAACTTGCTTTCTGACAAAATGGCCAACTCGAGTGCCGTAAGCTTCCGCTCGTGACCACCACGGTCCTGATATGGCCATTGTAGGGAGCGTCGGTATCGGCGAAGCGGGTCGGGCGCGGCATCGAACGGGTCGAACCCAGAAACCAGAATATTGGCGAGGAGCAGGAGTCCAGGTCGGTCTGGGTGGTCTTGGTGGAAGCGTCGAAGTACACGGGTAGCCAGCAGTTCGCAAAGAGTGGCTCGAGAGTTGTTGACAGCCACATACAGGGACTCGTCTGTCGCGGAACGCTGAAACTGGACACGGTTGGCGAGTAGGCAGTAAACGACCGAGAGGTTGTCGGGATTATACAGCTTCTCAACTAGGGGCCGAACCATCAGGTTGTCCATACGAGGCGTCTGCAGTTGGTCGAGCGTATAGGGGTCGTCGATGGCGGCAATCACCAAGCGGCGGATCCTGTAGTTTTCCTGTCAGTCATCTCATGTTCTTCCTTCTTCCATCCCAACCTGGTTCGTACCGATGAATGGTGACATAGACGGGTAACACTTGAGAGGTGTCACCGGCCAAGTATATGAGCTCGGCAGCATCGAGACCAACTGTACTGCCGGGGGCAATGCGCCCACGGCGACCGAAGAGGGGGGCCACGTTGTCGGATTCGGGCAGATGTCGAAGCTCAATGTCGCTGTTCTCACTAGTATAGCTAGCTTCGCTGCCACCGTCGTCGTTGTCGTGAAAGGGGTCTGAGCCCTTGGGCGGGGGATGTGAAGGGTGGCCGGGGGGTTGTGTGCTGGGGTGGCTGTTGGGAGCCGCCATCATATATGGTGGTGGTGGTGGTGTTGGTGGTGCAGCAAGATCAGCGAAGCAGAGGAGAGGGTTGAATCAGTCGAGATGAAAGGACGGTTGCGCCAAGGCATTGGGTATCTGTATCTAACTGAGGACCGGCATGTCGTCGATGGTGTTGCCCTGCAACATGGGGAAAGTAGTAGGTAATGATTACAACCCGGAGGACCAGGAGGGCCAGGAGAAGCGTGGACAGGGGAAACATGGACCGCCCCGGCCCAGTGGGAGGGACGGAGTAAGGGAGGTCGTCCATTAGTATGTAGTGTGGAGCTAGAATCCATTGATGTTCTGGACTGGAGCCGATTTGGTTGGCATTAGGTGGACGATCAGACAGAAAGTGGAAGAGGCGCTCAAAGCATCGGGTCTTTGATGGAAAGACGGCTCATTGGAACATTGCAAAAGGCATGTTTCCACGTCGTGGAATTGGTTGGCTTTCCATTACAGTGCCGCATCGCTGCACAGGCATTCCTTCAGAGTACCTTTAGGTACCTATGTTTCAGATCACGCACCGCATCTGCGACAACTTCTGTTAGTGGAGATATAGTCGGGCTAGAACATTCCCTAACAACGACTAACAGTAGCGTTGGTTCCCATAACGTAATTTTGCATCTCCCGCTTCGGCCACCTCAGCCTTGGCTGGCCTTGGCAGCTTGGCAATTACGTTACGCGTAATAAGCTCATCACTGCTCATCTACAAAACACCGAGATACGCTCCCGATACAGTCCCAAGGACAGCTTCAACTACGCCTTTGACTTCCACCTTTGATGGTCTGACATGTTCAGCCACACCTGTTCCTTCTCCCTGACCAAGTCCCAAAGCCTGTCCACCGTCTTCCTTACTGTATCGGGCAATGGCCCTGCTCTCGCCCCGGCCACGTTCGCCCGCAGTTGGTCGATTGTCTTCGCGCCAAAGATGATGCCATCCCCTTCTGCCAGCGCCGAATGGTGCATCAGCCAGCGCAAGGCAGCATCCTGAAGCAGTATCTGCGGTGACACGGCATCACAAGCCTCCTTCAGCTTCCAGATCGCCTGGTGCATGGCCGGGTCATCGTATGTATCGATGGCGAAGGGCAAGGCGCTCGCCCCTCTCCATCGAGTGCGCTCCAACGCCTTGGAATTGGGGTCACCGAGAGCAAAAGTGACTTTGCCTGTGAGGAAACCGCCAGCTACCGGGCTGTAGGCATGGAAAGCGCAGTTATGCTTGCGCAACAGCGGCATCAGGTTTTTCTCAGGGTGCCGTTGCAAAGCGTTGTATTGTCCCTGGTACACCGACGGCTTAACGTAGCCCTTCTCGTCGCAGATGGCGAAGAACTCTTCCATGTCTTTGGTGTTATAGTTGCAAAGTCCGAGCTAACCAAAGTCAGCGTCGCTCCGTCTTTGCCGCGGTCAAAATCATTGGAAAACATCTTACCTTCTCAAATTTGCCGGCCTTATACTGGAGATCGAAAGCCCTAGCCTGTTCCTCCAAAGGTGTACTCGGATCCGGCGCATGAGCATAGTAAACTCTCACACGGTCAGCCCCGAGAAGGCCTAGGGTCTGGCCGATGCTGACGTTGATGCGCTCTTCGTCAAGGTGTGGCAGAGGACGATCAGCGTTCACCTTGGAGTCAACGATGAAGCCCTTTTCAGCTGCTTTGCTTTGGCCCAAGAGCGTCTCGGAATTCCATTTGTTGCCCGGCGGGTAGGCGGCGGCGGAATCGAGCTCCAAGATGTTGAGCTCCTGCAAGACCGACAAAAGATCCGACACTTTTTCGGGAGTGTCCCATGTGAAGGTGAAGCTTTTGGCAGTGGTACCAATGCCCCCTGCTCCAAAAATCAGACGAGGTGGCATCTTGATCAAGGTCCGTTGGGTGCTGAAACTACGGCTGGCAAGTGTCTGTGATCAACTACGTGGAACTGAGCCATTTGAAAGCTTGGAAGGCTCGCCTTCTTTATAGAAGTCAGCATACCAATGGTCTCATGGCATCTTTGCGGTCCCCGCAACTTGCATGCTACATGCTTAGTAAGCACTGATTAGATCATTCTGCGACAGCGGCCGATGGCTCTGTGAAACATCAAACCAATATATCCTGTTGGAGACTCAATCATACCTTGCGCCTGCAAGCCACATATGCTATTGACTTGGTTTCTCCTGACACCCATTGTAGGGAGTAGTCTTTGTCGGGTTTGATATCGCCGAATATGTCAACATGCCGAACCAAAAAAAATCGACGAATTGTTGAAGTCAAGGTATGCGGCCGGTCAAATGAAGGGCGTCCACTCAATACTGGTCATGATGTGATCCAAAAAACCTCGGTACCGAGAGCGCATTATCGCTTGTAACCAGGAAATAATCGACCAAGCTCCGACTTGCAAGCGTATACTAGACGTTTTATCAACCCCTTGTACAAATCGCGAGAGCGACTAACAGAAGCAGCTGGGTCCAGTAACTCCCTGATGAACCTACCTCGAATCACGGATACCACGCGGCTGCTATCAACAGACCAGTTAAAGGCCCAAAGATAAAGCCACTAGGTGTGACTCCAACAACAACTTGTACGGGTCGCAAAAAAAACGAGGCTTGCTTTGGTATGATACGGGTGTTGTAAGAGTGACGGACAACATGGCTTGTAACCCGCCGGCTCGTCAAGGTGGACATATCAGAAGCGATTGCGAACACCTCACTCGCTACACCAACAACAATGACTGGAGTTCATGAAGGCGATACAAAACCACCCCACCATGGCCTTCGGCGCGAACAAGCTTGTAAAGCGGCGTCGATAGAAACGTCACACGCAAACTGCATGTCAAGCGTGTTACATGTGGAATTGTGATATTTTCGGGTGATTTGTTGGTTTTTGAATAACATCTGGCGATGACTTGCCGGATTTCCTGGAAATGAAGGACACTACTGATTTTCGAGGCGATAATCTCACAAATCCAGTCGAGAACATCAAACAAGTAGAAGGGACTCTGCGAATACACCAGTTGAAGCGACTTCAAGCAGATCGACCGACCAGACGAATGCTAACACAAGGCCGCAAGAACAAGCATTATTGGAACATCCAACACAAAGCATCAATAACACGGTGATTCCTTCTACCAAGCAAAAACGACTGACGAACATCGACATGCGCACGCTAATCTAGCTTGCCCGATCATCCGACTCTCAACCACAGCCCGAGTCTTTGACTTACCCTACAATCCCCAAAACTATGGTCCTTCAACCCAGGAAGAAAACCTCCGTCGAAGCCGGCTGGATCATCTTCGCCGTCATCTTCTCCACCTTCAGTTCCGCACTCATCATTCTTCTCTGCTGGTGGACCACCCGTGGCTCAAGCAAGAAAAGCAGCAGCAGCACAGAGCAAGAACAACAACAGCAAAACGAAAGCTCTTCAAGGCAGCTAACATCCAGACGCTCGGTACGCTACTGGTATTATTACCCAGAGTACTTTGGACACAACAATGGAGGATCATCAGAGCCACCATCAGACGATTATGATGCAAGTTATACCGGGACGGAATATCATTTGGAACAGCAACAACAACACCCGGATTACTACATCTATCCGCCACCACCTTATCCTCCGTGTCCAGATCCACCACCGCCGCCGCCACGGA